GGGTGTCCGGGGTGTCTGGGGGTGTCCGGTGGTGTCCAGGGGTGTCCGGGGGTGTCCAGGGTGTCCCAGGGTGTCCAGGGGTGTCCGGGGGTGTCCGGGGGTGTCCGGGGTGTCCCAGGGTGTCCAGGTGTGTCCGGAGGTGTCTGGGGATGTCCGGGGGTGTCCAGGGTGTCCAGGGTGTCCAGGGATGTCCAGGGGTGTCTGGGGGTGTCTGTGAGTGTCCGGGGGTGTCCAGGGGTGTCCAGGGTGTCCGGGGTGTCCCAGGGTGTCCGGGGTGTCTGGGGTGTGTCCAGGGTGTCCCAGGGTGTCCAGGGTGTCTGGGGGTGTCCGGGGGTGTCTGGGGTGTCCGGCGTGTCCGGGGTGTCCCAGGGTGTCCGGGGGGTGTCCGGGGGTGTCCAGGGGTGGGATCCTCCCGCTGAGCCCCCGCTCTGCCCCAGCTCCCCGAGGCTCTCCGAGGAGCCTCCGAGGGTCCCTCCGAGGGCACCTGGAGCCGCTTCCTCCTGCAGAACGTGGGGTTCCTGCTGGGCAGTGGCATCATGCTGGGCATCGCCCTGGCCGAGGGGCACGTCCGCGCCTGGCTGCAGCTCTGAGGGGCTCGGCCAGGGCCAGGACCCCCAACCTGCCCCCGGGACCGGATTTTTTCACCTCCTGAAGACCCTCAGCGGCAGCCGCTGCCTCGGGAGCCTCGGGCTCAGCCCTTGGGGTGGGACTTGGGGGTCTCCTGACCCCCCCCTCGTGCTCACACACCCGGCTCCGGGGCTGAATCCAAGCTCGTTCCCCTTCCCGTCCTCCCAGACCAGGCAGAGGAAGGACAACAGCCCATAGAAGCAACAGCATTTTAATAAACATAATTGGTTCAAAGCCACGATACGAAGAACAGGACTTGGTTGCAGCTCACATGGTAGAAAATAGATCAAGTCTGAATGCTTTTGTCTTTTTTTTTTTTCCCCTTTTTTCAAGTATCTTTTTAGTTCCTTTCCCTCCCCTCCCTTCCCCTTCCTCCTCCCCGAAGGTGATGCAGGATTTCTGAAAATACAGATACGGAACATCTGAGAAAAAAGTGACTGCTCAGGAGGCTCAGGGGAGCCAGGGGGGAGGTCTCACACAGGGTCTGGAGCTGGGAGAGGAACCAGCTCAGGCCCTTTCCAGGGAATGCTGAGCTCTGCTCCCTGCAAAGGTCTGAAACAGCCAAATCCAGGGACTGGAGCGCTCGGGGTCCGGGCACCCTGGGGCACCCGGGGGGGGGACAATCACCCCACAGCCCAGCCCCACGGGGGCCAGGGTGGGCTTCAGACTCTGCAGGGTCTCCCAGGGGTGCCCGAGGAGCGGGACAGGGACACCCCGAGCTCCTCCATGTCACCCCCATGTCCCTGCACTGGACACTGCGGGGGCAGGAGTCACCTCTGCCTCCCGGGAGCAGGGAGGCACCAAACCCGGCCCAGCAGGGACGTTACCGGAATGTTCTCCGGGATGTTTTCCGCTGTCAGACCTGGAGCAGCCGCGGGATGGGGCAGAGGGGGCAGGAAAGGGGCCGAGCCCTCTGGGACTGACCCGTGCCCTGCTCTGAGCCCCCAAACTGCTCACACCTCACACAGTGCAAAACTGGTGCTGCCAGGATCCAAATGCCTGGAGCCCTTGACCCATTCCAGTGGGGCTGGGACCCTCTCCCACAGCAGGACTGGGAGGGCTGGGACCCTTCTGGGGGGCTGGGACCCTTCTGGGGGGCTGGGACCCTTCTGGGGGGCTGGGATCCTGTCTCACAGCAGGAGTGGGACCACTCAGGGGTCCCAGACCCCTCTGGCCTCTCCCTCCACCCAACCAGGGGCTCCATCCATGTCCTCAGCCGAGGCAGAGCTTGGGAAAGCCCATTCCCAGGGCGAGGGGACCAGCACAGGGCTGTGAGTGGGCAGAGCAGCACGGAGGGACCCCTGGCACCCCCCGACGCCAACAACCCCTGAAATCCAAGTGCTGACCCCAAAAACCGGCAGTTTTGCCCAAGCCATCAGGAATCGGCTCCCAAAGGGCTCAGAGAAGGAAAAAGAAGGGGCAGGAGGAAGGCCCAGGCCCATCAGCAGCTCCAGAGAAGCCTGAAAAGCTCGGGAACAGCAGCAGGAGGCCCCTCAGACCCCGGTTCTCCAAACACCACACCCAGGCCCGGGGGCTCAGCCGGAGGTTTCCATGCGTTTCCTTTATTATTTTCAAGTTGACGAACAATATCGATACGACTGGGTCGAGTAAGGCTATTTTCCTCTTTTTTTTTTGTTTTTTTTTTTTTTTTTTCTCTTCCCCCTCTTTCTCCCCCCCAGCACGGGGAGGGGGACGAGGCCCCGGGGCCGCGGGGGCCGGGACACGGAGGAGTTGGGCTGTACCTGACAGGGGATGAGGTTTCGTCCTGTCGCCACCAAAGGAACATTTATGTGCATAAAATACAGAGGTGCAGCATTGACACGGAGGATATTAAAGACACAGAGTTGCTACAGATGCCTTAAGAGACGCGTCCCCCATCCCCGACCGCCCCGCGGGGGCTCCGGCTCCGTCCCCTCCAGCCACAATTCCAAGGATTTCGGGGCAGCTCCGGAGCTGCTGCTCCCCTCGGGGAGCTCCTGCCTCGGGGGTTCATTCCCCGGAGCTCCCGGGGGTGCCTGGGTTGGATTCGGGCCTTTTTTTTTTTTGGGGGGGGGGTTTAATCTCCTTTCACTGCCGAGCCCAGAAAATTCCTGCCAGGAGAAGAGGATTGAAGAGCTCCTTGTGTCCTTGGAGAAAAAACAAAAGAAAAGAAAGAAAAGGAGGGGGGGGGGAAAAAAAAAGCAAAGAAAAAGAAACAAAAGCCCGAACCAAGGAATCCACCCCGGGATCCTCTGGAAGGGGCCGGTTTTTCCTTTGGTTTCTCACTGAAGGCAAAGGTGAGCGTGGCCTGCACGGATCCCACCCCCCCGGGGGGGTCCCTGTGGGGGGATGCTGCCAGGGAGCCGGGGGGGCTCCTCAGGCCCCACGGAACGTCAGGATAAAATCAAGGAAAAAGGTTCTTTCCTGGGACTCCGCTGCGTTTGTTGGTTTGGGTTTTCCTTGTTCCTCCCCCCCATGCCGGGGGCTGGGATCTGCACAGACCCCCCCACGCTCCGGGTGCTCCCAACACCCAAACAGAAACAAAACCAAAACTTATTCCACCATTTTGGAGATTATTATTTTTTTTTTTTTTTGCTTGGCTTTTAGTGCTACTTCTTTATTTGCCGGATTCCAGCCCCGGGATGGGGCCGAGGGGGCCGGGGGCTGATGAGTTTGGGGAGGGGGATCCTCGCTCCATCCGGGAGAGGGATGGGGAAGGGAGGAGAGAGGGGATGGGAGAGGGGTGGGAGAGGGAATGGGAGGAAGGGAGAGGGATTGGAGAGGGAGGGGAAAGGGATGGGAGAAGGGTGGGAAAAGGGCAGGAGAGGAATGAAGAAGGGACAGGAGAGGGATGGGAGAGGGGTGGGAGAAGGAACAGAAGTGGGAGAGGGGTGGGAGAGGGGACAGGAGCGGGACAGGGGACACACTTCCCCCAAGAACTAAGTTTCCAAGTGCCTGCAGCTGGGGAACAGCGACCACAAAGACACCCCCAGCCTCTCCTCCTGCTCAGGGCCTGTGGCTCCGTGGGGAAGGGCCGAGCCCGGTACATTCAGTGTTTGTCAGAGGGTCTATGGCTCAGGGGGCCGGAGCCCCTCGCTCGGGCAATGGCAGTGCAAAAACACCCGGGGACTTGAAATGTACTTGTGCTGTTGGGTTTTCTTTTTTTTTTGTTTGTTTGTTTGTTTTTTTAGGTTTTTTTTTAGTTTTTTTTTCTCTCTCTCTCAAAACACAACTTCCCTTTGTCCATTCATTCCCTAGAAACGAACTTTTTTTTTTTTTTTTTTTAAATTCCAACTGAAAAAATAAAGCCAAAGACACTCTCGTATCCCTCGCGCTGCTCTCTATCCCGTGGGATGCTAAAGGGAATCCAGACTCATGCTTTAACAAAAGTGCTTATTACTTGAAGCAAGTGCTTTGGACCAAGGGGGCGGAGAGAAACTTCCTTTTTTTCCAGGGGTCGGGACAGGGAAGGGGACGGAGATCCGGTGCCTGCGTGTTCCAAACCAAGAGATTGATCAGATTGAGGTGGGAAAAGCCGAAAGATTCGCTGCTTGGAGGGGCAGAACTGAGCGGGAATGGTCCAACTTTGGCATAAAGGTCCGAGGGAAGGAGGTCTGGGAGCCCCCGGGGGGCTGGGGAGGGGGGAGCGGGGCAGGGCAGCGGAAGTTTCCCTCCATCCCTCTTTACAATGCACCAGGGAAACCATCACAAATCTCGTTTAGCAAAATAATGCATTATTACCAAACACTTTGATTATTACTTAAATTGTCAAGCTGTGCTGTCAACGATACGATACAGCGTTAAAGGAGAACAAGACTGGGACCCCCCAAGGCCACACGTCCCCTTCCCACCCCGTCCCCTCCCCTCTGCTCCCAGACCACGGATGCGCCGCTGGAACCTCATTTCCCTCCATTCTCATTATTATTATTATTATTAATTATTATTATTACTATTTTTAAGAAGACACAGGGGAGGGGGAGAAGAAGCTCCTGGCTAAGAGGGGAGGACACAAAGCGTGGCGTGGCAGAGGATGGAGAAGCCCTTACGGAGATCACATTGATTGTCTCGGCGTCGCTGAGCGCAGGGGACACGTCGGCAACGAGGCCAAAGGAAGGATCAGCTTCCTCCTCTAAGCAAAGGAACCGAAAACCACAATAATACTCCAAAAAACGGGGAGAGGGGGGCTGGGGGGGTGAAGGAAAAGCAGCATTTTCCGTGTGCTCTACGGAACGGTGGGAAAAGCCACGTTCGAGTGAAATGGTGCCGGATCCCGTCTCCCGACAGCCAGGAGGCCACACCCAGGGCCACGGCACGAGGGGCAGGGGGGGATTCCACGGAGAGGGAGCATCACAGCCCCGCTCCAGCCCATCCCTGACCCCGGGAATCGCCGCCCGCGCCGGGGGCCGGGAGCTCCTCGGCCCCTCCATGGGCCTGGAAAAGCACTTTAGCCCTTGAAGGCAACGGCTCAGGACTTTGGCCCCACTTTCCTGTCCCGCGGGAAGGGGGAGGGAAGCAGCCAGGAGATAAAGTGATGCTTAAATTCCTCCCAGAAAGGGAAAGAGCTGCAAGAGGCGAGTGCGGATTCGCCAGCAATGTAAACAAGTCTCTGTTTCCAGTTCTCCTCCGTAGAATACTGAAAAGGATCTCCCAAAAGGATCTTTTGATTCAAGTTTCGTTGAGTTCGTTCTGGTTCCAAACTGAGGTATCCGGTGCAGAAAGGTCAACGCTTCCTTTCAAGCTCGAGGGGAGTGAGGAGGGGGACACGCTGGGGATACTGTCCTAAAAGGGGGGGATCCAAAGGGAAGATCCCCCTGGAGCAGGCAGAGCTCTGCCCCTCAGAAGTGCCTGGCCCTGGCTCTGAGATCTCACCAAGGGCAGATCTGTCGAGTGCTTTGCTGGGGGAAGTGCAGGATGGGGAGCAGGAGCACCAGGAGGGTCCTGGTCCCGCTCCCCCCTCTGGGACAAACTCCTCCGGGAAACGCCAAGAAAATGTGCTTATCACCCAAAGGCCAAGACTGAAACTTCATATTTGGTTCTAAGAGTTTGGCTTTGGTAAAAAGAAAGAAACAGTGCGAGGGGATCCTGCCCAGGGGGG